TACTCATTTCTAGTCAATTCAGATTTTCAAGTCTTAAATCTCATGAATTCTTAGTTTGATTTCGTTTTCTAGTACAATTCCCTAGTAACCAGCTATTGATCGGAGAATTTTAGGAAGAGAGATTCTCATTACGGGGAATTTGGTTTTGTCAGATCACAAATGTTTTAAGATCTGCTCTAAAGAAAATGATTCAACCTTAATCCTCAGGAAAATGTGTGATTCATCGATCATTGTGCCTGTAATGTAGGTTTGATGCAGTAATGCATTTTGCTGGATTGAAAGCAGTCGGGGAGAGCGTGGCGAAACCGCTTCTGTATTATAACAATAACTTGATTGGGACTATTACACTTTTGGAAGTAATGGCCGCACACGGATGTAAAAAAGTATGTCCATTTTGTTCTGCAATGTGGAGTTGTGTTATTATTCTTGATATGTATGTGAAACATGATTTAACTTTCTATCATTGATCTGTATCAGCTTGTATTTTCTTCGTCGGCTACTGTGTATGGCTGGCCAAAAGAGGTTCCTTGTACAGAAGAGTCCACCCGGTCTGGAATGAGTCCTTATGGAAGAACAAAGGTACTCGGTAGTTTTTGATACCACAGTGAAAAGCTTTTGTTTGTAGATTTTAATTGCTATCTATCCTGAAATGTTTCTCAATTATTTTAGCTGTTCATAGAGGACATTTGCCGTGATGTACAAAGCGGTGATCCTGAATGGAGAATCATAATGCTGAGATACTTTAACCCTGTGGGAGCTCACCCTAGCGGTCGCATTGGTGAGGATCCTTGTGGAACTCCAAATAATCTCATGCCTTATGTCCAGCAAGTCGTTGTTGGGAGGCTGCCTAACCTAAAAATTTATGGAACCGACTATACCACTAAAGATGGCACCGGTGTAAGATTTTCACAACCTTCCTTATACAAGGTTTCTTCATTTTTACTGTCCTCTAAATCTCTACATCAGTATCACATAGACCTTCCTTTTATGGTTCTTCCACACGGATCATGTAAATCTTGAATTTTGGTCCATGGGTTTGAAATCCAAGGAAATGTTTGCTCTAAATCGTAGGTGTAATGGCTGTATAAGGCACTAGATGGAATTGTCACAAGACTTCTTAAGTTTCATGATCATCTGTTAGGTGTACTTGTCTTGATTCTATAATATGGAAAAAAATAATCCTCTTCCTGAACCTTCAACTTCACCTTGAACAACACTTTGTGATGTATTAGTCTTTCTTTGCTTCCTCGGGTGTGATGAGTCAGACTGATCTTAGCGGTGGGTTTTCTACTTCAGGTACGAGACTATATTCATGTTGTTGATCTAGCAGATGGCCATATTTCTGCACTTCAAAAGCTAGACGATTCTGAAATAGGTAAGGTGTTTCTAAATAGCTCATTGTCCCGACAATACATATCTGCTTATATATGCAAGCTCAGCTGTTTGACTTTGGTCTTGTGCTAGGTTGTGAGGTATACAACCTAGGAACCGGAAAAGGAACAACAGTGTTGGAGATGGTTGATGCATTTGAAAAAGCTTCTGGAATGGTAACATCACT